GTAACTGCGCTTTACATGGGGAAAAGATCTGGGCTACCCATGACCAGAAGAGAGAAAAGTTGTGCCAGGCATAGATTGTGGCGAATAGTAGTCTTTGGCCCATTGTGCTGAATAGTTAGAGTGGCTTAAAAGAGATTCTTCCATTACATATGCTTTTCTGCACAGCAATATAGACATCAAACTAACACTTGTTTGAGCCTACATTATAGTGGAACTTCAGTAAATAAGTTAGGGAGTACCTACAAAGCAGCAACTGCTGAAAAAAATGAACCCTGTTGGAACCATGCAGCCACCATCAGGTGGAAGGTGTTGCTGACTCTGTGCTTTTCCGACACAAAACAATGCCCCCCTTTTCATTTCAAGTACCTGTGATGAACCCTGTGACAATGCGCCCCCTTGCCCTGCATTCCCGTGACAATGTTTGCATCAGAAAAGTGCAGTGCCAGTGGTTTAAGGGCTGTCAATCAAGTGGCTCATCTCCTTTTGCAGATAGTGGTCGAGAAGGGAAGGGTGGGTGCTGTTACTCTCTGGATCTCGGCTTCTGCTGTACACAGAAGCATGGGATAAACAGCAACACATACTGTGGGTATTTGGTGACTTAGCTTTAAAAAATAATACAAGGTGAGACTACTACTTTAATGACAATAAATTACCAAATGGTTTTAGCAGCAGCTATATCAACTTGGTAAGCAAAAGCAGCATTTTCTTTAATTTCCTTAATTTCGGTCTCTTTTCTGGAAAACCATCCTTCTTTTTCACTACTTAGTAGATTTTTAATGCGTTATCAATTTATTAAGAAAATGTACACTAAACTGCTTGATGATCCAGTTTCATTAGTGATGTAATGTCTTTCAGCATCTGTTGCTGGATCATGGAAGATTCCAGTATTCCTTGTGATTGTGTTGTTGATGGTTGTAGGAGCCCTGCATGAGAAACAGGCTGTGCAAGGAATCCCAGGTAGGCAAACTTCTATATGATGTAATTTCTAAATTCCTATGCAGATTTCAATGGACAAACTATGACCATAAGATTTTTTTTCCAGTTAATTGTTAAGGGGAATTATATGTGTAGCCAAAAGTTTATTCTTTTAGTTTTTGGTAGAGTAGGGAAGAGTTAAAAGCTATGGATGGCATTGTTCCGGCCTATTGGATCTTATTACCAAAGGGCTGGTGGTTCTGGCCACCATTTGAAGCGCCACAGGAGACCCTTCACTAGAATACATAGTGCCATACAAGAGATTAAAGGCAATAATCTCTTCAGAAGGAGAAGATTTTTTTTAGAAATGATTGTCGATTGAACAGATTGCTGCCCCCTTTGATAAGCTTATCTCCTCTGACCATCTCTACATGAATAAAACCTTACATTTTTGGTTGTGCTTAACCTTGGTATTTATAATGGTACTGGAGGTGCCTGAGGCTGCCCGATTCTTATTGCTGTTTCTCAATTCACTGGGGAGATTTCCCCTAATTTCTTCTGATCATTGAAACAAAAAGTGAAAAAAATCTCTCCAACAGCGGTCAGGACTTAATAGTCTCACCACCGATGAGAAGATTCCTTCTTCTCAGATAACATCTGTATTACCACCAGGATAAGAAGTGCGGTGAAATCTTCCCACCTGGGACACACAACAACAATAATAACCTGACTGGTTTTCCTATCAAAGCCTGTTGACCTGTACTGCTGATGCTTTAGGGCAGGGGTAGCCAGACTCTGGCCTTCCAGCTGTGGGGAAACTACAAATCCCATGATGCATCTCTCTCCGGGAGTCGTGTCTGTGAGAATCTTGCAATGCCTCATGGGATTTGTAGTTTCACCACAGCTGGAGGGCCGGAGTTTGGCTACCCCTACTTTAGGGCTTCAATATTTGAGTTATTGCCCCCCAAAAAGAAGAGATGTAGAAGACTCCAGAGACAAGCAAGAAACTTAGTTTCCAATTTAGACTAGCAATTGCAGCCTACATATTTAGGGTGTGAATGTATTGTATTTATTCACGTGTCTGATCCATAATCAGTTTTGTTTCCTTTTAGGTTGTACAGCAATTGTCAGATATAGCACTGTACTGGTGCCAACTAAGGATACTTATAAACATACCAATGAGCATTTATAAATAGATGTTGGGCATAAAAAGGGTTAAGCAAAAGTTCATTATTTCCATCTTATTTTTGTTTTTTTTGTTTTGTAGCTATGGTTATTCCTGGACAAATGTTAAACATTGCAACCTCAACTATTGCTATGGCAATATCAATTACTGGTTTTCAACACCAAGAAGAGATGCATGCAGCTGAAAGTTCAGGTAATCATTGGAACCTCTTTGTAGTTTTTAGTTATATGGAGTATAGACAATGCAACATAGCTTGAAAGTGTAAAAATATTAACCCCCCCCCCCCCCAAAAAAAAAATGCTGCTTTGACTGTGTAAGGCTGGCCATACACTGATCTAATTTGTTTCGTTCAACCCGCAGGCTGAACGAAAAAAATAGACCCGATTCCTCCATCAACACGATCAGCGTGTCGATCGAGGAATCCCGCTGTTTACATTGTATTCAGACAGGTGCCGCCGACAGAATACCCGACTAGAGCGGGCAGCTCACTGGATCCCAGCTCTGATCGATCAAAAATTTTCCGACAGCCTCCTTCGATCAGCTGATCGAGGGATGCTGATCGAAAGGGTCCAGTTCCTCAAAAATCCAGTTCCTCAAAAATCTTCAGAAATTCTAACAGTGTATGGGCACCTTAAGTCCTTTCTGCCAGAAAAGCTTCCTGCTGCCTGTCAGCTATTTTGTTTCCTGTACACTGAGCCGCGCATTTGCAGCTCAGTGCACCCTAGACATGCTGAGATGAGGTAACTCCTGTGCACATGTGTGTGAGTTACAGTATGTCATTGGGGCCTGGCCAGTCAAGGGGCTGAAGAATCAGAACCTGGAAGAAGGAGGAGATGGAATCGCCAGCTAGAGCTAAGCAGGGATCACTTTGGCAGGTAAGTCTGCTATAATGTGCGAATATGCTGGGCATATTATGGCTAAAAGCCACCCTCCCCCTCACTTTATTTCCACCTTAATTATCAAAAGTAAGAACATTAAAGGTATTCATTTCTGTATACATTGTATATTTTGTTTAGCATGACATCATAGGGGTGGCAAAGTGTGTTATTGGTCACGCTTTTTTTTCCAAATGGTTCTACTGTGTGCAATGACAGAACTAATATAAAACTCACAATGTGCATGTCAGCCACTCATTACAGAAGACTTGCTTGCAAAGTATGTAAACCAAAGCTTGCAGTATTTTTTTTAAACATGCAGGTTTAAAGCTCACACTTCTGATCTAAATTAAGAACAGGCACCTTGGCACTAACAAAGATGTAGAAGTGGAAGACCGCTACTGTCAGAGGGGGAAATTAGAGGAGGGGAGAATGGTATTTAGTAATGTCCTCAAAACTACTAAATACTGACTTGAAGTGGTGTATACTAAGACAGTCAGTTATTTTTTGATTCTGTAGATAGATTCAATTATCAATTTAGATCAACGATACAAAAAAACAAAAAATGGTATTTGTGCATCCCTTCTGCACAGTATAGTTGATTTGTAGTTTCGTGTTGTGGTATGTGATCTGGCATATTGAATCTAGTTGTGGTAAAGGGAACAAATGAACCCAAAGGCCTTAATTTACAGGGTGAAAGTTGAGTGTGTATGACCTGCACCCAATGTATAGAATGGGAAGGGTAGGATAACAAAAGGGTTAAAGCTAAACTCAAGCCAGACAAAATAATTTATTTTTAAGTGAAAATTTTCTAAGCGCCTGTATTTGTCTTGATTTTGGAATCCTGTACTCCCATGTACAGTAGCACTCAGGCTGGAAGAGAGACTGCACACACATATTCTAACAAGGAGCATGTTGACAGGAGGAAAGAGCATAGAGCTGACCTTCACTGTGTTTTTGCACCTTCATTGTCCAAGCACCAAGCTGAAGGTGTGTTTTGACCGGTGTGCTAGACTAAGCTGTGCTGTTGCTGCAGTGGAATGTTTTTTAGCAGGTATGCCTGGATCACAAAATTGACTTCATAGCACTTTTGGCAGGTACATTATTCCCACATATTTTGTTCTTACATATTTTGGTGGTTGCCTGGAGTTCAGCGTTAAAGCAGACCCACTTTTTTTTTTTCATTTAGTACTAACATCCGCAGTGCAGTGAGTTACAGTTGTACTGCATTGCACCACACTGTGTTGAAAAAAGCACTGCATGCACTACTTTTTACAGCTCATACCAGTGCAGCGGAAGTATGAAGTAGGCAGATTGTAAAAAAAAAAAAAAAAAGGTTTTGTCTTTGCATTGGGATCGTGCTGAGATAGGCTGCTAGCACAGCCCAAACGCTCCTGGTGTGAATGAGCCCCTAATGTAAAAAAAGAAATAAAATACTTTTATTACATACAATTACTGATTGGAAGCCTAAAAGGAGTTTTACCATCATCAAATGTATGTTCCACCTACTTTTCTTTTGATAGCTGGATTACATTTACAGTGGAATAGGTGGCAGGTCTAGGAATTGGAAGAACAGCCTGTTAATAGCTTGCATCAATTAATATGATGTCTTCCATCAATCAAACAGCACTGCGGAATGAATGAAAAAGGTGGCCTTGGTAGAAGAGGAGCTGCAGAATGTCTACAACAATACTATATTATTCACAAATGACTTCTCTCTAGGTGTTCTTCAAGAAGACAGTGCTAAAATCATATACACACAACAGTAAAAAAAAAAAAAAGTTTTTACTTTCTTCAGAAATGGGTACTTGTATAGTGCTATAGAAAAACTGTGATTATAAATGTAATCCTCCAAGAATAATTTTGAAATGACCAACACAATATAACAAGACCTCTCTCTAGAAGTATTCAGCTCTTCCTTTTTTACATTTATGTATAGTAAATGTACATTGTACTGTATATGACTTGTTTATACTTTTAACAGGAATGGGTACAAGTGCAACCCCCACCTCTCCCCTTTCATCCCCTTTTGGAAGGCAGAAAAGTGAAATTGGAGCATTTTTGAAAAAAAAGAAAACTAGTGATATCTACTTTGTTCTCCTTGTGTGGGCCATTGTCATTGTACAGATATGCCTTAATCTATGGATTGTACAACTTTTGCCGGTACCCATTGCAGGTAATCCATTTTCCTATGAAATATTTTGAAGAATGGCAGTGATCTTGATTTACTGTTCTTTATGAGTTGAATGTCAGAATAGCCTTGTTGTCTAACTGCAAATGTAATTTTCTTTTTCGTTCAAAGTGGGGCACAGAAAGGCTTGACCTTTGGATTATACTGCCGTCTACAGGATTGGACAATCTCAAAATTGTAGACGAGCCCAGGAAAACCCCTCCTACTAGCAGTATGCCTCCGTTTTTTACTATTGTTCTAGGACAATGGACTTTTTTTTCCCTTCAGCTCTACTGGGAACAGGCTTAATATCTTTTTGCTATTATTTTTTCTTTTACTTCCATCTAGTCTAATCTAGATTCTTCAATAGTGCTGTGTGAGCTGGTCTCTACAACATCAGATATCCGGATTGGTCTTTCCTGAGCCTAGTTTTGGGGTGCCAAACCCAAACTCCGCTGGATCAGACATTCGGGGGGGGGGCTAGCTTGGAAGTGACCTTTCGGCTCCGCTTAAGGTAGCCGAAAGGCAGACTCCATTCTGGTAACAAGATAGCATTCCAGAACTTTCCAGGTCCAGTGGTGTCATTACTGCCTCTGTGCTTGCCCTGTCTTTGAAGACTCACTCTGTGAGTACGTTTTAAGCTGAACATGGGGATCTACCTCGTTTGTACTATTTGGCACGTTTAACCTTAACATTTTGATGTTGCCCCTCTCTACTGGTATCATCGTGGAAGGGGCTAATGCTTCAAAGCAGTCTCATTTGCCCAATTTTACTCCAGACCCCTACAACGCAATATTCTGTAGTCCCAGGATTAACCAATTCATGTGGCACCAAGGACCAGGTTGTTCCTGGCTTGGTGGCTCAGGAATCTGGCTCTGGAGTTGTACAGGTCTTCCATTCCCGTCTTTTGGAAGATCCTCATGATGCCAGCCTGTTGGGCTAAAAAGGAGTCCTGGGTACCCTGTTAGTACAGGGAACTTGGATGTCAGAGGAATCTCATCTCCTGATCAACTGCCTGGAGCATTGGGTGGTTTGGCTGTCCCAGAAATGCCAGACTACATAGCTGGAGGGTAATTCCAATCTGGATTCAGTCAGACAATGCCACGGTAGTGGCATACATCAGCCATCAGGGAGAAACCAGAAGTCTTGCTGTGGCAAGACAGGTAGAGTCGATCTTGTGTTGGGCAGATGCCGTTTACATTCTAGCGGTGGACAATAGGGAAGCATACTTCCTCAGCCATCAGTGTCTGACCTGTGTCAACGGTAGGAGGTGCCAAATGTGCACTTCCTGGCCTCCAGGTTCAGCAACAAACTGGTACTGGTTTGTCTCTAGGTACAAAAGTCCTATAATAGAAGCAGTGGATGCTCTGGTGACTCCCTGGTGTATGCCTTTCCTTCTCTGAAACCCCTTCTTTGTCCGTTTTCCAAGAGGAAGATGGAAGACATTTGGATGATCCTCCTAGCACCAAATTTGCCCAGGCAGATGTGATACTCCTATCTCATAAGACTCCTTATCAGATGTGTGCTCTTCCAGATTGATTGGATCTTCTGTTTCAAGGACCAATTTACCATTCTGTTTCTGGCTTTAATGGTATGACTGTTGAAGGCTAGGTTCTGAGGAACAGGGGCACATCGGAATCTGTTATTTCCAGGATGCTAAAAGCTAGTAAGCCTATTTCTAGCAAAGTCTATCGGCTTATGTGAAAAGCATACTTCATTTTGTGCCAAGCATGAGGGTTTCACCCCCAGGAAATTTTCTGTGTGACAAATCGTTTCCTTCCTGTGGCTGGGTTTGGAACAGCAATTTGGCCCCAATAACCATTATGGGTCAGGTATCTGCTCTTGCTATCTTGTTCCAGAGACCATTGGCTACCTGTTCCTTGATTAAAACCTTTGTTCATTATGTCCCCAAAGTGTCTCTCCCTGTGGCTCATAGGAATTTGGTCCTGTCTGTAATTCAAAACCACCCTTTGAACTCATCGGGTGTATTTCACTCTCCACTTTTACCCATAAAGTTATGCTTGTGAGGCAAGTGTGCTGAGCTGACAGCCTTATCCTGTGAAGAATACTTTCTGGTCTTGCACAAGGTGCAGATGAGGATTTTTTTCCTACCGACCTCATCGTTCTTCCGTCCCTCTGTCTATATCCAGTTAGATTTTTGTAGTCACTGTAAAAACCTTTTCTTGAAGTACATTGGAGGACACAGTTTGTGTTTATGCTCATGCCCTTGATGAGGATTTTTTTCCTACCTACCTCAACCAGGACATCGTTCTTCCGTTGTGAAGGAGCTGGTGTTACATTTTGGGGTTATAGATTTTTTGGTGGATCGGTTTGGATCTTGGTGGGATAGAATAGAAAACTTTTTGAAACAACGGCAAGAAGCATTGGCACCTGGACCTATTCGAGGACTGGGAAGGTTCATCCTAAAAGTTGACAGTAAGGTATTTATTGTTTCTTCTTGTAGTAAAACAATTGATTGATATTTCCAGTCTTTTTTTTCTTTTAACTATAGCATAAACCAGGTATCCTAAGGTAAATCCTAAGGTATTGATATTAGTTTAAAAAAAAAATATATAATTGTATATTGTATAATAGAAGCTCTGTTTAAAATGTGCTTGGGTTCAGAAAATTTACAGAAGAAATTCTAATAAGCACATATGTATGCTGATTTTTCTGTGTTATGTCGCAAAAACAACCATATGTGCATTTCTCAAAGTCTGTGGTGTGCTCCAGCTTTATATACCAGATATGACACACCTGAAAACAGTGGCAGACCTTAGCTAGAATGTGATGTTTTTTACATGAGTCGGCCACATTATTGAGATTTTGCTAAATACTTTTCACATTGAAAGAAATGTAGAGTAGTTTGATTATTTACATAAATATTCTGTTTAAAGCAGCTAGTAATATAGCTATATTGCACCTATATTACAATAGTGCACAGTTATTTGCATGGCCAAATGAGAAATGCACACTTTTCCACTTAAATGTTTTTCCTAAACAATCATTATAAAAATAAGGTGATAAAAAAAATAAGACAGATACCTGTTGAATGTTAAGGCAAATGATGTCAAAATAGGTGTGAACTCTGCCCACATGTGGGCAGCTTAAAAGTCAACCATACTAAATTAAACATTCTTATGTAACATTGGAACTGCAAAGCTGGTATCCACAGGTCTCAACCTCTTTAAATGCCTGGGGTGCAGTTCCGGGTGCTGGGCAGTAGTAGCCCCCCGATATACTTGCCTTTCAGTGAGCAGTCCTTCCCCTCTGCTGGTACGGGTGTACTATCTGTACCCCATACTGCCATCCAGTGCTGCCATGTATTCTGAATTTCGCTTGCAAATTAGCACTGTTAGATACAGTTTTGGTTAAGATTCATTTTTGTATCACGACAAGTATGTAGATTGTCGGAAGGGGCAATTAGATTGTCATGAGGGACAAGTAGATTGGGCCCCCACTTTAGTCCTTGGACAAGTAGTTTTTTTAAAAAAAATGTCCTCACCCCTGATCTATCATTTCTCTTTTCTATATACCATTTGCTTCTTGGGGAAATATGCTCTATGAAAGCATTGTACAGTATATGTTTAGCTTGAAGAGCAGCCATGTAAGAATGAAAACCATTGGAATCTGATTAGCAGATAGTTGTGTGTGTTTAAAAAAAAAAAAAAAAAAACACGTTCTCAAAAACTCTGGTGCAGCAGTATGGTTACCACATTGCACTATCCATACACTGATACTTTATGTATGTTAATATGAATGTGATTGTACTTGGTTACACAGCCTATTGAAAAGAAATGGGCTGAAACATATTATAACATGCAAACATGCGTTTAAGGTGCATTGGGGGTGTCATTCGAATTTGTATTCTCTGCAGAACACCACTGGGCAATTTCTGTATTTTTTTACCAACACCTAGTAAGTTGCAAGAGCATTGAAAAGTGTCTAAATCTCCACCTGCTGACTGGATACCAGACTAGATAATCACATACAATATTTAATATTATCTTTTTATATTAACCATGAAAATAAAAATATTTCTGACCATTATAATTACAAAGATGTGTACAGAACTACTTTTTCTTTCACAAACTTCTATCAGATTTTTCAAGTATAAACATGGGAGATTAAAAAAAAAAAAACCCGCAGACAGCAATAGTCAACCCGTACAGCACAATAGAGAACAATAATAGTCTAGATGTGCGTTCCAGGAAAAAGAGGGCAGTTTGTCAGATTAGCTTCCTAGGATACCATAAGTCTTTGAGTAACAGGAAAATAGGACTGATGTCATATGCATGCACCATGGCTACAGAACTAATTTTCATCAGTTCAAATCACTGCAGTTTCGAATTTTCCACATTATGTGTTGTGTCTGAAATTATCACTCTGAACCAGCCCACATATTCAGGTTTTTAGTCTCCAGATAATATTTTTCAGTAAAGTCCCACTGGTTGCATTCAGGCAATATGCACAATTATTATTTAGGGCACCTAAAGAAAAACTCTTGGCAGAATAAAACATAACCTTTGCAGTGGGGCTACCCACTGCAGTGGTCGTTTGGTCTAAGGTATAAAATAAAAAATATATACTCACCCACTCACAGTATGCAGTGTACACTGTATTAGATGTGAGGACGCTGATGGACATTCCACCAGTGGAGCGGAGGGGGTGAGCGCCTGCGGGGGGACCAGTCTAGCAGCTAGGTGGGACCAAGGTTTTTGGGTGAGTATATCTTTTTAAATTTTACACCCTAAACCAAAACAAACACTTAAACCCTCGCTGTGCGGGGGTTGCCCCACTGCAAGAGTCCGTTTTACTCTTCACGGAGTTCTTTAAGATACATATGTTGTCAAGCTGTAGCTGACATAACTGCACACACCTTAATTTTTCTCTGATCAACAGACCAATACAGTTATATAAATAAATATGGACATTGCAGTAATAAATAGTGGCATGCAGTTGCTATCTTGCAGTATTGTATTTATTTATTTATTTTCTCAGAAAAATTAGATCATCTGCCTTTTCTGTGAACTTTTTTAGATGCAATATGTATTTAGATAGATATTTTTTTTTGGTTTTAACTAGGGATGCACCGATACCAGTATTTTGGTACAGAGTACCAATAATGTTTTTTGGTACTCGCCGATACCAATTACCGAGTACCGGAAGTCCCATTCAGGAAGCCAGGTGGTGTGCAATGACTCGCCACCTGGCTTCCTGATTAGCCGGGTAGCTAAGAGACTCGCTTCCCGATTAACAAGAAGGCCGTCCCATACGAATCCCTCAGTGCGGATTTCTGTCCCCTCTAACCTCGGCATGTCCAGCCTGTCACCCCCGGGCCTCTCCAGCCAGGAGCGGCCTTCCCTCGGCTCCATGCTCTCTCATCACAAGTGACGAGAGAGCATGGAGCCGCTTCCCGGCCAATCAGGAAACCGGGCAGCATGTAATGATGTGCTGCCTATCTTCCTGATACAGGAAGTATCGGGCTAGGCATCGGAGCATTTGGGCGAGTACGAATACTCGGCCAAATACTCGGTATCGGCACCGATATCGATACTAGTATCGGTATCGGTGCATCCCTAGTTTTAACCAGCAAAAGTACATTCATATCAATGGTTATCCTCCATAGTGCAGTAAAATGAGAATAGCAAAGTAGAAAATGTGACTGTTTTAGGAAAAAAATGAAATTCACCTTCTCCCTCATGTGATTCCTAATTGGTGTGTCAACTTGCAAGAGCTAGTACCAATTACCAGCTAGCTCAGCTAGAGCGTGTGGAGATTAAAACTGTCATCTTCTGCCAATCAGCTTGGGCGTATAAACACACGTCAGAATGCGAAGTCCATTGAGTTGTTACGCATGAGCTGATTGGTTGAAGATTAGCTATTTCATCTGGTTGCGCTCAACTCCGTGCACTGCAGCTTCGCTTTGCTCCCCACTGCTTTGCATTGCTTCGCACTGCTTCTCGTGCAGTGTCACAGGCTTAACTCGGCACATAAGAATTCCCCCCTCCAGCTGATGTAGATTATAATGAATGTATTACTAAGGGATAATATATTACAGAGGAATACTTATCTTAATACAGGGTTGTTGTGACTGGTTCCAGAATCTGCTCCTTTTGCTGGTCCCCACTGCACCTGCGTTGTTAATGTTGTAGGAATGCCTGCCCAAATTGCAGCGCTCAAGAAAGAAGGGACCATCACCTACTGTGGAACTATGGATTAAAGGAATTATTCCTTGTT